TTTCTGCGTGATTAATGATTCCATGCCTGGTTGATAAACTTCGTTTGTTCAAACCAATATAGGCTCTGTACACACACCAGCCAGCAGGCTCGGCCCATTCATCTCCGCGCTCCTCCCCATTGGCTCCAAAGTTTCAGAGGAAGGGAAGGGCAAAGGAGAAAGTTGGGTGGCTTTGGGGAAAGAAACTCCGAACTTCTCCTTCCTCCATCTCTCCTTCTTTCCTTCTTTCCCTCCTCCCTCCCCTCCTCCTTCCTCCCCCACCTGTCAGGTGCCTGCTGGGCAATGGCAGCCCAACCCTGCTCTCCTGAAGCCAACATCCCAAAGAAAAAAGCCAACAACAGACAGGTGCATGATGCCAGGTAGCGAAGCAGGTGAGGCAGCAGAGAGAAATGGGGAGAAATGAGGGGGGTCAGGGAAGGTCTCTCTAAGGAGGGACTAGTGAGCCCAAACCTGAAGGAAGTGGGGGAGGAAGCATAGGGTAAGAAGGGTCAACTGTGCAAAGGCCCTGGGGCAGGAACAGGCTTATGGAGGAATGGGTGGGGTTGGGTACAGCAAGGGGGCCAGGACGGCTGGGCTGAGGGACAGGCAGGAGAGGGTGGGGGCAGCTCCCACGGCAGCAGAAGCTGTTAGTTTAGGGGAGCCCTGGAAGCCTCCCTGATAAAAATACCTGATGAAGAACAATTTCCACTGGCATATCTCAAACGTGCTCCTCCCTAAACCAAAGCTTCACCCACAACAGTACCCCTAATGCAGAGGTGGCCCTGGGCAAGCCACCACGTCTGTAATTGAGATTAAAGCAGCCCAGAGCGACAGGTGGGCAGATGGGTGAGGGGAACGGTAGGGACACTCCTCCCCCATTGCATTATTGATCAGGAGATCCAATAGGAGGAGCCAGCCCTGTGACAGGTGTGGCCCCTGCCTGCCAAGCCGAGGAGGGTTCCAGACCTGTGGGTGGTCAGGAGGGCCCTGAGATGAGGGGGCCTCCCCACAGGCTCCAGGCTCCAGAGGACGGTGTGACCCCATCGAGTCCTGCCTGTTTGGCCGCAGGGACAAGAGGCTGAAATTTCACCTGGTGACAACCAGGCCCTAGTCACCGTCGTCCCCGGATCCCTGCCGGTGTCTGGCCACTGCTGCCAAAGGTAAGCCTCACGGGGTGAGGGAGGGGCTCCTCAGAGTCCTGAGGGTGTCCTGAGCCCGGCAGCCAGGGGGCTCTGGGGGGGCTCACAGGTTTTAAAGACAGCACCTTGGGGTAACAGGATGGTGGGTGGATGCTGAGCCCAGAGAAGTGACCAGAGCCTCAAATGGCTGCCCAGCCAGGAAGCACCCTGGAGGGAGCCCACAGTCACCTTGTGGGGGCATTGGATGTCGTCACGGGCTGTTGCTAAGGGGTTTCCCTTTCTAATTGGGGTTGGCTGAGACAGAATGTGTCTGCCTTCCGGTTGGGTACCTGGGGGGAGGAGTAAGGGGTCAGGCGGCCCCAGGGAACCCCCAGGGAGACAGTGCCATCACTGAATGGAGGCTTAGGCCTGGCCGTGTTGGCTTCCCCACCCTCGTGCACCAGGAGGGCAAGGCCTAGCCAGTTTGCCTCCAGGGTTGTGCCACAGGTCCCCACCAGGGAACCCTACCCTGGGCTGGAAAGAAGCAGCCTTCCGGAGCCACAGCAGGGTCTGCAGCCAGGGGTGGGACAGAAGTAGGACAGGCCCTGATCCCCACTTTCTGGTTTCCGGGTCCAGCGCTAGGACCTGCCCTGGGGGAGCACTCAGGTCTCTGGAGGACAGGGGATGGGTGAGGGTGAGTAAAGCACACCTGCTTTTATAAAGGTGGGGGGGGGGGGGCACTGGACTCCCAGCCTTATGGCCTGTGGGCCTCCAGGCAAGGATCCTGGGCTAAGGGTTTGCGAAGTTTCCTTATACAGTGAAGTCGTTGCTTGCCGGAGCTGAGAGGGTAGACCATGAGCTCCAGACGGGCCCAGAGCCCTTCATCCCCAGGCAGGCGACCTCACGACCATGCCACCCACAGACAGGGCCCAGGAACACCCCGCCAACCCCGCCTCCCACAAGGCGAAAGCCACAAAACTGTAAGGTCAATCCCAAGGCCAAAACCAACAGTCCACATCCCTAAACTCTTTCTGTTTCCTACTTCTCTGCCATGCTTCTGCTCAAACCCAAGAAAATTCTGGTAATGGGCTCCTAGCCGCCTTTCCAGGTGGTGGGTCTTTGTCCCAGAGTCGGGCGTGACCGATGGCATCTAGAGCAGGGACTCTGTGCTCCTGCTGGGGCCGCAACGCGGGTGCCCACGTCCCTTAGAGCTGCCACTCCACGGCTGTTTCAGGGAGTGCAAGGAGTCCCGCAGGGGCACCCCCGTCCCTCCCTAAACCCGGCCAGGTCTGACAGGTTAACCGGGGCCACCTCTGCGGCAGGACGAACAGCCCCTGGGGGCCCGGTCTTCACACGCAGTGGTTGTGTGATCTGTCCCAGTGAAACCCCATCTCCCCTAAAGCTGTGGATGAGCCATGGACTCCCTTCAAAGACCACCTGTCCTGTCCTGTCAAGTTCTGACGTTCAGCATCACCACCACCCGATGCGGGTCGGAAACAGCAAGAAACCCTTTCCACAGGAAGTCAGCTTCCTTTTCAGTTCAGGTCACAACAACTGTCCGTGATATCTGCTCATGGGCCTGCATCCCGAAACGTGCGCCCCACGGCATGAAGCAGGCGCCCGGGGTTACCTGTCTCAGCATGTGCTGCGCTCAGGTGGGGGCCGGGGTCACAGGTGGTGACCCACGGAGACCGCGGGCTCATCTGGCCTGCGCTGCGGGTCTGTGGGCGCCGAGTGCAGGGCAGAGAGGCGGGGGGCCCATCAGGGCTAATGTGAGGCTGAATGTCAGGCAGCCCTCCCACCTGCATGCCCCGGGCCCTTCCCACAGCCCCATGTGGCAGCCCTGCTCCATTATGGCTTTTGCCTAATTAGGGTAATTTAAGTGAAAGTAATCAAAGCAATGGGAGATCTCTTCATAAACCGTCACCGCCACGTTCATAGCTCGGGCGTTGTGCCCTTGTGAAAGTCAGGGAGCCCGCCCCCTGCACACCTGGATCCCAGACTCTGCCTCTGTCCGTGGTGCCCTCCCTAATGGGCCAACCGGCCACACCCCGCGTCCCAGGACACCTGGACCCTGAGAAGCACGTCAGAGATGCAGCGCCCCCCCCGCCAGTGCCCCCCACCCACCCTACCTCATGGCACCCGTGTTGCCCCCCACTCTGCCATCAGGCACCCCACCTGTCTCCCTGAGCCCTGCAGAGGAACCAGGGTTTACCTGGCATCTGGGCACCTTGGCAACTCGAATTGGGAGGGGCCCTCGCCCAAAGCAAGACCATCTCTCCAGGGACATGCAGCTCATCGACCTTCCCCAGGGCCCCCCACTCCTGCTCGCTGCCCATGCAGGGCTCAGCATCTCAGACCCAAGTGCAAAGCCCCTGCCGGCTGAGGCCTCCAGCAGGCTTTGCTTCTTGCTGCGGCTGCTCAGGTGGGGATGGCAGGAGATGGGGGGTTCCCAAAATATTCAGCTGATGCTGCACCCCTTCCTCAGCTACAGTGAAGGTGACCCCCGGCCAGCAGTCTCACGTCCCAGCTTCTCGGAGCCACCTTCTGGGCCTTGTCCCAAGGAGGGGCAGGCCCTCTGCTCAAGACAAGTCGCCTGGGCCAGAACGAGCTAGTCAGCAGAAAGGCGCTGGACGTGCCGAAACGTCCACCTGCAGGCTGTTGGCAAGAGCCTGTGCGGAGGGGCACCCACAGCCGGGCGGGGGGGCGGGGGGGCGGACGGGAGACCCTCAGGAGCCCAGGCGGAGGGGTGGCCTGGGGCAGCCAGTTTCCCCGGAAGCAACCTACAGGAAGAGCTCTGGGATGGCAGGGCCCAGGGCGCCTCTCCTCCGCGGAGCTCCCTCCCCATCTGTGAGGACAGTGAGGATGCGGCGAGGGCTGGCCCCGGCCCCCGGTGGCCCCGAGACCCCCACAAACTCGGGGGGCAGCTCTGCCCTCCTCCCCGACCCCTCCCCTGCAAGGGCCTGGGGGAGGTAGGGGCGGGGTCCGGCCGCGGCGAGATCTGGGGCGGGGACTGCGTCCGGGGCGGGGCGGGGCGGGGCGGGGTCTGGCGGGGTGTTGACGCTCTCCCGGGAAACCGACCCCTGGGCGGAGCCGCACCCACCGCCCTCCCCACCGCCCGCCGCGCGCGCCCCGCACGGGCTCGGAGCACAGGCGGGTGTGCGTGTGTGAGCGCCCCGGCGTGAGTGTGTGTGCGTGTGTGCGTGTGTGAGCGCACAGGCGTGTGCTCTATGTCTCAGGGAGCTTGTGCGGCTGTCTGTGTGTTACAGGGCGTGTGTTGGGTGGGGTTTGTGTGCAGGCACTTTGGGACCCGAGAGAGACTGTCCCTGAGTACTGTAGTTAGTACTTAAGATCAGATTTGGGAAGGGGGGAGGGGAGTGGCAGGGGCTGGTCCCCAGAACCAATCTCAGAACTGACCCCCTGGCCTGGGCCAACGGGGCTCCCCACCCCCACCCCAGAGCCCGGCAAGTGCCCCTCACCACCCCAGCAGCCCACCACTCCCACCCAGAATGGCGGGCTGTGGGAGGTGGGCAGAGGTCTGGCCCTGAGTTTGGGCGGGTCTCTGGAGACTCAGCAGAGAAGGTGGCCTGGGTGACCTGGACAGGGAGCGGGTGGGGGTGTTCCACCTTCCTGTGGGGTCCTCTGCTGGGGTTGGGGTGGGGAGCAAGGGCCTGGAGTCCCTGACCCCACAGGCCACCCGGCTCTTCATGTGGGTCGCCGAGCAGGGTAAGGGTCTCATTCTGCAGAGGAAAGGAGCCTGGCCTGGGGAACCCTGGCAGATGCGCCCAGCCCCACCCGACTCTTCACTCGAAGGTGCTCTGCACGGACTCTGGGGTCTCAGTGGGGAGGAATGGGGACTAACCGCGCCGCCTCTACCCCAGGTGCCCCCCAAGGACTGGACATGCGCCCACCATGGGCACAGCCGTAATGTCGGCGCGGGAGCTCGTGGCCTGCCTCTGCCGGGAAGGAGACCAGCGCCTGGCCCTGGGAGAGCCCCTCCTGGCCACCGCCTTCTACCTGGCTGCCTTCAGCTGCCACGCCCCCTCGGCCGTGCGGAGCGTCAGAGCTGCCCTGGCTGAGGCTCGAGGGGCACCCGTGGTGGCCACCCTAGAGGCCTGGTGCCGCGGTGACAGCCAGATCCCCGCCATCCACTGGGACGGCATGGCGGTTGTCTCCCTGACGGGGACCCTGGCCTCCGCATTCCTGGCCAGCCTCTGCCCGGACCACCCCGCCGCTGTCCTGCACTCCCTGGCCAGCCTGCTGGCTCAGGGGCGCCACCAGGAGGTGGTTCAGCGCTGCAGCACCTTGCTGGATGCTGGCTCCCAGCAAGCCCTGGAGCTACAGCTGACCCGCGCCCTGGCCTGGATCCTGTCCGGGGTGCAGGTGGACGATGGCGTGGCAGACTATCTGCAGGCCTTTGCCTCCAGTGCAGACCGGACCGTGGCCTTTGTTCGATCCCATCAGCAGCCCTACCTCCCCGTGCTGATCAGCACCCTGCAGGACTATATCTCAGGGCACCAGGAGGCGGACAGCATTGGCCAGCAGGAGGCCGGCTGCCAGGGACTCCTGGCAGCCCTGGACCCTGGGGGCATGTGGAGTGACGCCCTGTCCCCGGAAGTCCTACTCCGCAGTGGCAGGTATGAGGACTGCCGGTTGGCGTGCAGCCGGGCCCTTGAGTCTGACCTGACGGGCAGCCCACCCCAAGGTAAGAGTGCGGTTCTTGTCCCCCTAAGGGCCGGGGTGAAAGTCGCTCCCGCCATGCCTTCACGGCGTGCTTAAGTTCTGGTTATGGTAGGGTGGGGGGGTTGTTCCTGGGGTGGGGACACCACGGTGACAAGATGGGCAAGCCCTGTCCTTACAGAGCACCCAAGAAAAGGAACAAACAAAATATGTGCTTTGAAAAATGGACCCTGCAAGGTGCTGCCCTAGCTGGGTGGTCAGGGTAGGCTTCTTGGAGGAGATGTCACTTGAATTAAGGCTAAAGGATTCCCAGCAGCAGAAACAGGACATGCCAGGTCCTTAAGGGAGAAAGAACTTGGGGTGTCCATGCCACTGAATGGAACCATAGTGGCTGTTGGGGGGCAGGAGCAGAGGGAGAAGGGGAGGCATGGAAGAAATAGATTTGGCTAAGCCCTGCTGGGCCTGAAAGGACTTAGCATTTTACCCCCAGAGCAGCGAGGAGCCATGAGAGGGTTTTGAACTGTGGAGTGAGGTTCTCTGGGTTGCATTTCTATAGTTTCTTCTGTCTGCTATGTGCAAAGTGTGCCAGGGGAGCCAGAGTGATAACAGAAGCTGCTGGGAGGCCGGGAGGCCGGGAGGCCGGGAGGCCGGGAAGAGGACCAGGCCGGGAGCCCAGAGGAGCAGTCCCGGCAAGAGATGGCAGAGGCACAGGTGAAGGAAGAAGGAGGGTCAAGAATGATTTCAGGAGTTTGGCCACTGGGTTGCAGAGCTCAGGGGACGAGCAGACAGGGAAAAGGGGGCTACAGGGGCTTTGGACACACCTGGTTTGAGGTACTGCTCCTGTCTGGTCCCTTTACAGAGTCCTCCTTCTGGTGGGGGCGTGGGCAGTGGCTGGATGGCTGGAGAGCCCAAAGCCACACACCAGCCTACCACAGACACTCCAAGATCCCTCCCGGCCCGGTGGCCCTCTCTGTGCCACTTCCCCGTGTGCACGTGGGGATGGGGGCTACACCCACTTCTGAACTTGCTGCTGAGATTTCAGTGAAAGTGTGTATCAGACCCTTAAAATGGCATCACCCACTAAGTGCTCAAAAAGATGTCCCTTGAGTCAATCATGTGGACCATGTCATTGGGCAGCTGAACACATGAGCCTTGAGGTGAGAGGGGGCTTGGTTTGAAGAAGGGATTTCAGAATCCAACCCACAAAGAAGAGATTCAGAGTCAAGGGCTTAGATATGGAGGGAGTGGGTCAGCCACACACTTAGAGATGCGGAACGGCCATGCTAGCTGCCATTCATTGAACACAAGGTGGGCAAACCATTGTAAGGTTCGATGTGCATTCAATGAGAATGAATGCAACTTCCATGGGCAACCCTCCAAGGGCACCTGGAGTGTTCGTGGTAGGCTCCTAATGACCCACCACACTGCCCCCACAAAGAAGGACCCAGCAAAGGGGACAGGAGGACAAGAAGGAAGAAAATGAGGAGCCTGCAGTGTGCTGATGAGAGCCAGAAGATGCAGGTGTTTGCAAGATGATGAGGCACACGCTGCCATTTCCATGACGAGAGGACAGAAGGTGTCTATTTTCTGTGCCACATGGGGTTTACTGGTGACCCCAGTGTTTGTGTGTTGGGGAGGGAGGGATCAGACAGAGAGAACTGAAAAGTGAGTGGGCAAATTTGTTTCTGGAAATACACTAAACCAGATGCCGTGAAGCCTTCCTACTATAAAAGGTACAAAGAGGCTCGACAGAGTCACAAAGAATCCTGAGCTTATGAGAAAGTAGGGTGCCCTCCGTGCCCAAAGCATAAACGTGCAGTGGGCTGTGAGCAGGGGTATTGAGGCTGGGGGCACTCAGCAACTCCCAGGGAGGAGGGACCTTCCACCTTAATGACCAGTAGAGACCCCCATCAAGACCAGAATTCCCAAGGCTACAACATCAGGAAGCAAGTGTGTTAGATAAGCTCTGCCCACCCCACCCCCCAACCCAGGGGAGACTGCCAGGAAGCTTGTCTGTCCTGCCTTGGCTCTGCAGTGGACAGGACCACCTTCCCTAAGAATCACTGCATTCCTTAGACCTAAGTCACTTACATCACAGGGAGTCACCCTATTGCCACCATCCACACAAACATGGCTTACAACATGAATAAATAAATGGCCTATAACAGACCTTTTACAAACACAGTTTCCTATACTAATCCCAAGGTTACTTATAAGGGTCCTTGAAAACACTGAACAAACCCTGTATATTTGGGAAAGTGCTCTGCCCTTCTCAGTAAGCAGACAAACTCTATATGAAGACAAGAATAAGTATAGTTTTAACTCAAATCTCCTATGGGTCAACATCCAAGCACCAAGGTTCCCTGAGTGGTTAATCTTCCCAAAGTGCCCAGGGCTACCATCTCTCATCCATTCAAGGTTTTTCATTAAGAATTACTGCAGTAGGTAGAAAGCATGGCCATGGTTGTTAAAGCTCCTCACAGCAAGGGGGCAGAAGTTGGCTTGGCCTCAAGTCTTGCTGGGACCAATAGAAAATAGAGGAATAAACATGATGTCATGTGATTCTGGAGGCCATGCCTCAAGGGGCCCAATAAGTTCCACCTTCATCCTCTTGCAACAGCCCCCCCAGTGCCATGTAGGAAGCTAGATCAGTGAACCACAAGGGCACACATAGAGGGAGGCTCTACCAATGGCCAACACCAAGGCCTCAGGCCTGTGAGTGAGGCCACCTTACACCCTCTTTTTTTTTTTTTTTTTTAAAGATTTTATTTATTTATTTGAGACAGAGAGAATGAGATACAGAGAGCATGAGAGGGAGGAGGGTCAGAGGGAGAAGCAGACTCCCTGCCGAGCAGGGAGCCCGATGCGGGACTCGATCCCGGGACTCCAGGACCATGACCTGAGCCGAAGGCAGTCGCTTAACCAACTGAGCCACCCAGGCGCCCCACCTTACACCCTCTTGCCCAAGCCAACAGATGGGTGCAGACATGAGGGACCCCAGGTAAGATCAACAGAACTGTCCAGCTCAACTCAACTCAGTCCAGACTGAGGAAGAACCATGGGTTCCTCTGGCTGTTGAAATGGTCATTGTTTTAAGCCACTACGTTTTGGGGGAGTTTGTTGTACAGTGATAGTAACCAGTACAACTGCTGAGTCAGAGCAACAGTTTCTGATGCCTGTTTTAGCCAAAACTCAATTCAATATAGGAGTTGTAATTTTGTGTTTCCATAATAATATTATTCACTACCTTCATTAATGAAAGAAAAAAGAGCATATGCTCATTGCAATGAATTCAGAAAAAGCATTTTATAACATATTAACACCCCACAAATTTAAACAAAGAATAGAAGGAAACTTACTTAATTGAAAAAATAATATCTATCAACACCTTACCAAAATATCAACTTAGTGGTTGATAGTAGCCTTCCATTTAAAATCAAGAATGTAGTAGCTGCCTACTCTCCCATTATCTATTATTGTACTAGAGATCCTAGCCAATGCAATAAGATAAGAAGAAAATAAATGTAAGACTAGAAAGGAAGAAACAAAGTTATTCCAGACAATATGATTAGCTATGTAGAAACCCAACAGAAACAACAAAAATGGGGGCGCCTGGGTGGCTCAGTTGGTTAAGCGACTGCCTTCAGCTCAGGTCATGATCCTGGAGTCCCGGGATCGAGTCCCGCATCAGGCTCCCTGCTCAGCAGGGAGTCTGCTTCTCCCTCTGACCCTCCCCCCTCTCATGCTCTCTGTCTTTCATTCTCTCTCTCTCAAATAAATAAATAAAATCTTAAAAAAAAAAAAGAAGCAACAAAAATGTATTAGACATAGGAACAGAATTTAACAGGATATACAGAAGCATTTATATTTATAGACACCAGCAACAAATAGAAACTTTATAATTTTAGACTATACCATTTACCATAGCAACAGAAAATAATTTATTTCAAAGAACATACAACTTTGTGGAGAAAATTATAAAATTTTATTAAAAGACAATAACGAATACCTATATAAATAGATATCCAATGTCCATTGTTAGAAAGATTTGATATTATAAGAAGAAGAACAAAAAAACAATAATAGACAAGACAAAGAAGAAGAGGAAGGGGAAAGAGATGAACAGGAGGTGGGGAGAGAGGTGGGGGAGGAGAAAGAGAAGACAGAGAAGAAGGTGGTGGTATAAATATTTACTCTACCAGTTAATACAAAGCTATACTACCCAATACAGAAGGTTATTGACTTAAGTGATGGATAGAAAGACCAATAAAACAAATTAGACAGGCCAGAAACAGACCCATAGGTATCCAGAACTTAATATGTGAGAGTGAGCATTACAAATCTATAGGGAAAGAAGAGGACCATTATTCAGTGGATGGTGCTGATTCTGGAAAAAAAAAAAAAAGTAAATTCTAGGTGGATTATGTGATAGCTAAGTTTTATAGTTTCTAAAAGAAAATATAAGAGAATATCATTAAGATTTCTGTGGATAGCTGGACTTCTTAAGATACAAAAAGTGGAGGGACACCTGAGTGGCTCTGTCAGTTAAACATCTGCCTTTGGCTCAGGTCATGATTCCAGGGTCCTGGGATCGAGTCCCACATCGGGCTCCCTGTTCAGTGGGGAACCTTCTTCTCCCTCTGCCTGCTGCTCCCCCTGCTTGTGCTCTCTCTCTCTCTGTCAAATAAATAAATAAAATCTTTAAAAAAAAAATACAAAAATTGGAAACAGTAAAGGGAAATTTGTTGTTTGATTTAATTAAAAATGTTAACTTCCATTTTGTCCATAACTATAAAAAATGAAAAGAAAATCCACATCAGAGAGAAAATATTTGCAAAATATACAATGAGCAAAAGATTAATAGCCAGAGTATTTGAAGAATTCTGACATATCAATAAGAAAAAAAAATCCAATATGAGAATTGGCAAAAGCATTTCCCATAAGAGAAAACACAGATGACAAAGAAACGTGAAAAATGTTCAACATCATAGTAATGATACGAATGCAAATTAAAACAATGAGATACCACTTTCCACCCACCAGGTTGGAAAAAAATTTTTAATTAAATTAATCTAATTAAATAAATTGCCCTCACTAGTAATCAGGAAAATTAAAATTAAAACAATGATGAGATAGTATTTTGTATCTTCCCATATTGTCACAGTTTTTAAGTCTACCCGTAGAAGAGTCTGGCTTCCATAATAGGGGACTGGCTTGACCAGCCTGTGTCCCACAGATAGCAATGATAAAATTTGGACAAAATACAAAATGCAATTATTTGGAGGCACTGAACAGTGACCAAATGTGGGCAGAAACTGGAAGTTGACCCTTGAAAGAAGAGGGCTATACAATGTGAGATTTGCAGCCTTGCAGCTTTTTGCCTGAGGAAACTCCTCAATCCATGCTTTATCCACGCAGAAGAGGAAGCTGCGGTTTTACTGGCTTGAGACGTTATAGGACAGAGTTCAGGCTGAGAAAAGTGGCTGGAAAGTTTAGAAGGAAAATTCTGAAAAGGAGGGAGCCACAGAGGGGACTAGACCCAAAACCTGTGTATTAAATCCACTTAAATCCTTGGAGGACCACTAAACTACACATACGTGGGAGAGACTGGGTGGTCTGAAAGAGCAGCTGCTGGAGCCAGCAAGAACTACAAGAGCTAACTGGAGATTTTAGCTGTGCCTAGCAAAGATAAGACAGAATATGGAGTTCGATCCTATCCCATGTAACTGCCCGCTAAAACAAAATTCAGTCCTCTTCAGAGGAACATGGCTAAATCCAGAGTGTCTACAAAACACCAACCAGATGCCCAGTGTACAATTTTTAAAAATTACTAGACATGCAAAGAAACAGGAAATTAAAATGTGAGCCACCGTCAGGAGACAAGTCAATATAAACTGACCCCAAGATGATCCAGGTGCTGAAATGAGCAGACCAAGGACTTTAAAGGAACTATCATAGATGTATTCAAGAACTAAAGGAAAATATGGTCATGATGAATGAACAGATGTGGAATCTGAACAGATAAAAGGAAACTATTAAAAAAAAAGAATGAAATGGAGGTTCTAGAATTGAAAAATTCATAGCATAATGGAGAAAGCAGAAGAGTCAGTCAAGTTGAAGATAGAAATTATCCAATATGAAGAACACCAGAAAAATGAGCAGAACCTTGGTGACCTGTGGGACAATGTCTAGAAGCCTAATGTGTGTAACTGGAACGTCAGAAGCAGAGCAGAGAACACACTTTCATGTGGGTAAATAAGTAACAAATCCCCCCAGGGCCCAAGGGCTCTCCACCTACTGCAACTCCCTAGGATCCATGAACTACCGCAAAAATCAGGTGTAGAATTGTTTTGTTCAGGAGTTAGTAACTGACTGGAAAGGCCCAAAGTCTCTTTTTCTTTGGCCACCAGGACTAGACAGGGTGACCTTGTTGGCTGGCTGGTTGGCTGGATGGTTGGTTGATCTCAGGATGCAAGATGTTTTTCTTTTTACATAACTCTGGGCTGTGGCGTGATGCTTACCCTAACAGAAAAGGGGCAGGGTCCCAGCAGGCTTGCTTCCATGCAGAAGTGAAGGTGTTTTACCCTCTCCTGTATTGGTGTAAATGTTGGGAGAAAGCTCTTTGAGAATTGTGAAGGACTCCATGCCAAAAGCACTAGAGTGGACGTTCTGAGACCCAGGATTGAGAATCACTGGGGTTCTGCAAAGCTCCCCTCCCCAGAGGTATTTTCCTAACCTGCAATGCAAGTGTGGGTGCCCATGATCTTGAGCTCCTGCCAGCACTGAGTTTTCTGGGATGCTCTCCACGGTGTGCACCTGCCTGGGCCCTGTTGGGAAAGGATGGCTTGGTTTCGTTACCAGAAAGCCCCCATCCTCATGAGCACACTTGGACATGAGGTATGAGGAGGCGGGATGACGCTGTTGCTGATGGGAACCTCACTGAGTAAAAGGCCCCCCAGGGGCCCTTTTACTGTTCCAAGCACTAGACAAGCATTAATCCATTTCATCCTCATGGCCCTGTGAGTGCAGACCTTTTTTTTTTTTTTTTTTTAAGAATTTATTTATTTATTTGACAGAGAGAGAGATAGTGAGAGCAGGAACACAAGCAGGGGGAGTGGGAGAGGGAGAGGCAGACTTCCCACCAAGCAGGGAGCCCGATGTGGGGCTCGATCCCAGGACCCTGGGATCATGACCTGAGCCAAAGGCAGATGCTTAACGACTGCGCCACCGAGGCGCCCCGAGTGCAGACCATTTTAAACCCCATTATAAAGCAGAAAAGGAAACTGAGGCACAGTGAGATCCAGTAAATGGCCCAAGTCCCCCACAGTGTAAGCAGCTTTGGGTGTGCCTTTCCCTCTTTCCTGCATCTGACTGCAGTCCCTGTTTCAGAGGGAAGCTCTGGGCCCCAACATTGCCCCAAGATGGCAAGAAGCAAAGATGCTGGAGTAACAACCAGCCCCCCCCCAAGGTCACAGGGTCAGAACCTCAGCACTAACCTGGGGGCGCTAATCCCAGAAGAGGGAACTCAATTCCCAAATCCATCATTAAAAAGTAAAGAGGTTTTGTAACTAAATGTCCTTCTTGGCCAATCGGTGAGGTTGACTTTGAACCCATGGGAAGAGAGCACTGCTGAGTAGGCATGCATGCAGCTGCCCACCCCAGCTGTCCCTCCTGATTTCTGCTCTGTCGCTGAGGGTCTATCGTGGTGATGCAATGTCCTGGACTACTGGGACACTCTCGGGAGATGCCGTGAGATGCTTCAGAGGGTCCAAAGCGCTGGACGGTGGGGGGCTAGGTGGCACCCTGGAGGCTGTGACCCGACAGGCAGGACCAGTGCTTCTGTTTCTCTCCCCAGGTGAGCATCGGGCCGCTCTGCTGGTCACCCGCGCAGCCGCGGCCTTATTGCTGGACAGTGGCGCCCGGGACCTGCTTCGGGACCTGCATGAGGCCTTCCGACAGAGCCCCTCGAGGGCGCGGAGGCAGTTGGAGGCGGTGCTCTCCGCGGAGGACCGAGAGCGCGTGCGGGCTCAGGCGCAGGAGGCAGCGGACCTGGGCTTCGCCCACTTCCAGGAGGCCGTGCGGAGCCGCGCTGAGCTCCGCGAAAACTCGGGCCTGGAGCTGCTGGCCCCGGTGACCTGCGCGCTCCGTGTCCTGCTGCGCGTTGCGCCGCCTGGGGTGCGCCGGGCACTGGGCACTCGCTTGGCCGAGTGCCTGCTGCTGGCGGGGGACGCGGCGGGCGCCAGGGCGCTGTGCGAGCGCTTGCTGCGGCCTGCGCGCCCCGAGGACCGTGCGGACTACCGCATCAGGGCCCACACCGGAGACCGCGCGCCCCTGTTGGTGCTGCGCGGCTTCTGCGCGCTGCACGCCGGCGATGCACCGCGCGCCCGGGAGGACTTCCAGGAGGTGGTGGAGCACGCGCCGCCGCACCTGGGCAGCTGCGTGCGTGCGCTGTGTGGCCGAGGGCTGTTGAGGGTGCTGGAGGGTAGCGCGTTCCTGGGTGCGCTGGACTATGTCACCGCCTGCCGCCTGCACCCCGAGGAGGCACTGCTCGTCGCCAAGGCCTACGTCCCCTGGAACCAGAGGGGCCTCCTGCTGACCGTGCTGCGGGAGGAGGGCCGCAGGATGCTGCAGCGGAGGCCAGACCTGGGGCTCACGGGCGCACGGGGCCGCCGGAGTAAGGCCGTGGAGATGGACAGCCCCGACGCGCAGGAAGGGTAAAAACTAGCCCCGCGTACCCCTGGGGCTACTGTTTCATTCTGGTCTCCTGCGAGGTAGCTAGGGGTGTGTGTCTTCCTTCTTTACAGATGAGTAAACTGAGGCAGGAAGCAGCTGGGGGATTTCCCTAAATCATGGATGGCAGTTTTAGTGCTGAAGCCCAGATCTTAGGACTCCCAGCCACAAACAGTGTGATGCCCTGTGGGAGTCAGGTGCAGGAAAGAGGGCCTAACTACCATAGAAAATTAAGAACTCAAAAATGGGCATGAAAAAATACAACTTTCCCATCACCCCACCGATGGCACTCCCTTCTAGTTGTTTCTCTCTGAGCATAGAAACTAAACTGAATGTGAACTCTATGTGCAAGTTATAGCCCCCTTTTTTTACTCGGTAGATCACGGACATTTCCTTTGCCTCTGGATTCCTTCTCGGGCACCCCAATCTATAGCCCGCCCTGTGACCATGCCATCATTCCTTGACCATTCCTAGAGCTTGCCCTTTGTTATAGCTAAACGCCTCCACAGTGTTCTGTCCTGAGTACGGACACAGAGGTGGGGTTTCAGGGTCAGAGAGCGCAGCCCGCTGTGAGGTCCTCGACTTCCGGAGCTGCCCATCTGCCCGTCTAGCCACGCGCCCAGCCCTGATGTTCGTTTTGGAATTTTTCTGCCAGCCTAATGGATGACCCTGCAGCTGTTTTGATTTGCACTTCTCTGGCTGCTGAGAGGTGACAGGGAGGTGTTTTAACAAAGCTCAAAGCACTGAGCTGGGGGCCTCCTGGGGGGCATGTTTGATGTCAGGTCTGCTGCCACCACCCACCCTGCGCGCGCGCGTGCACACACACACACACACACACACACACTTTCTCTGCCTGCAGGTTGCTCAGTTCAAATTGCTTTGATGTGCTGGTGAGGTGGAATTGCGCAAGATTGGGGGCACTTTATACTTTTTGTCTCTGGGAATTGTCATAATTGGAGGCTCCAGCCCTTCTCCCAGTGGGAGCTCATTCACATTCCCAGCACACCAGGAGCATTCCAAGTGAAGCCTGTGTGTTCTCTAACTGCCTTGAACACACCCCTGAGCCCTGCAAGGCCAACACTGTTATCCCGTTTCTACAGAAAAGGAAACTAAGGCAGGGTTGGCTTGTGGTCAGCCCACAGATGGAAGCTGTCTTCCATCTGCGAAATGCTTGCCACACGGGGTGGTGGGAAGATGGGGCGGGGAGTGAGCACTGAGGGATGTATGTCAGAGAGGGCAGCTGTGGTTTCCAGAGACCCCGTGTGTGAGGGTCCTTCCAGTAGGACCCGGGGCTCTGTGGCTGGGTGGGAAGGGAGCTGCCTGGACCAGGTGTGCGGGGATAGAATTTGCCTGTGGCCCACCTTCCTGGGCAGCTGAAAGGGGTGTAGACAGAGGCTTGGCTGCCTCTCCCCCAGCTATTCTCTCCACAGGGATGCCCATGGTGTGTACCAGCTGGCCACGCTCCTGGTGGAGCTGGACAGGGAAGATGAGGCGTCAAGCCTCCTGGGGGCTGATGCCCTGTACCGCCTGGGCCGTCTGGAGGATGCCCACAAGGCCCTGCTGCTGGCCCTCTCCCGGAGGCCCCACGCGGCCCCTGTGCTCGCGCGACTGGCCCTGCTGCAGCTGCGGAGGGGCTTCTTCTACGATGCAAACCAGGTGAGCAGGCCCCGCGGGGCCACAGCAGGGCAGGTGGAGATGGGCCACAGCCCTGTGGAGGGCACGGGCCTCTGGGCCCCTCACTCTGCACCCCTCAGCCTGGACTTTGGAGCAGGTAAAACGTGTCTCAGCCCCGGGCTCTGCCACCTCCAGCAAGGCCCCCTCACCTCCCCGACCCTCAGTCTCTTCGTCTGTGCTCTGGTCTTGTGGGTTGTCCCGAAATAGCTGGAGCAAGACCTCCAGCAGGTCTCCAGCATGCAGTAGGTGCTTCATATTTGCTTTTGTTGTGTTATGAAGGAAAAGGGCCAAAAGTCAGGTGTAGACTGAGCTCCGACCCAAACCTCCCAAGTAAACTAGGCTTGGAGGTGACCCTGCCTAGGGAGGGGAATGGCAGAGAGGCCTCCAGGTCCTCAGTTCCGGCTCACCTCACCTCTCTCCAAGACCACCCTGCTCCCAGGAAAAGCAGAACTTCGCCTCCCTCCGGTGTTAAGAGGGCTTCGCGTTGGAACCGGGGTCAGAAGGTTATGTTCCAGGGGGAAGATGTCGGGCTTTGGGGCCTGTCAGCTTCTTCTGCTCTGGCCGGATTTGGGTTCCTGGTTCCCCTGCCCTGGGCCACACAGGCGGGAGAGGGAAGGATGCCCAGGAACCGGCCGATCCTTCTGCTCTGGGACCTGTGTCTTCAGCGAGCGGCCAGCAGGGGCAGCATCGGGTCTCTGTGGGACGGAGCCGCTCAGAGAGCCAAGGTTATGTCCACCCGGAGTCTCGCTGCACCCAGAGCGGGCACTGATCCCAGCGCATTTGCTCCTCGCCCGGTGCCCTCGGTCACCTTATGATTTGAAAACCCCCTTTCCCCGCGCTTCTCATTTGGACCTGCAGTGTGTGGGCCGGTGAAGCGAGAGCTCCACCTCCAAGCCACGGAGGAGGTCCTCCGGCTCGGGGACACTGGGACCCCCACCCCCACCCCTCGCCGTGCAGCCCAGAGGAGCAGCCCCGCGCAGGCTCACACCTCGGGCCCTCCGCCTTCCCTGGGCTTAGCGCCGGGGACGCGCAGTCCCTGCCCCTGAGCCCATCCCCGCGGGCCACACCCCTGTACGCCCCGCCCCGGGGCCCGCCCCGGACGCTCCGGCTCTCGGGCCACGCCCCGCGCGCCTCGGCCCCGCAAGGGCGGCTGAGGGTGGAGTGGGCTGGGCATCAGGCACAGGGAGGAACCCGGTGGCTGCCTTGCCCCTGCAGCTGGTGAAGAAGGTGGTCCAGTCCGGGGACACGGCGTGCCTCCAGCCCACCCTGGACGTCGTCCGCCACGAGGACCGGCAGATGCTGCGGGGCCACTGCCACGCTCGGGCCCTGGCCATCCTGCGGGCGCGGCCCAGCGGGGCCGAGGGCACAGCCCGCACCAGGGAGGCCATCGCCTACCTCTCTCTGGCCATCTTCGCTGCAGGTAGCTGCTGCCCGCCCGCCCCCGGGGTTCCCACCCTGTGCCAGGTACCTAGGGGCAAGAGGAGCAATGCGGGGGTCAGAGACCGGGCGGAACCAAGCCCGCTCTTGGTTCACGGGTGTGTCCGTGCGCTGGGGCCGCTCGCGGAGCACGCCTTGCCCTGAGGCCCTAGCTGTCCAGGTGAGCACGCTAAAGCGTGGGAGAGGGGCCAGACTAGCTGGGACCTGAGCCGCGATCCTCCTGGCACCCTGGGCCCTGTGCGTAGGAGGGCCGCCCTTGATTGAGGCCATTCTCCCAGCTTGGCCCCTCTCCAACGGGGAGAGGCCCTTCCTGGAGATAGTGGGGTGTCTTTGTATGAGTGTAGCTGGTGTCCCCATTTGCCCAGCCAGCCCACCCAGCACCATCCTGGGCGACAGAGCCTCTTGCAGTTGGGCCTTCTTAGCACAGGGCCATAGGGCACCCAATCTGGAGGGAAGGGACTTTCCCAAGGATGCACCCCGATTTCCTGGGGTGCATGGAGATTCAAAGTGTGGACTTCAGATGAGAACAGCAGGTGGACTCCTGGCTCTGCACTTACTAAACATCTCCTCACTTACCTCTTCTCAAAGTGGGTGACAGAGACACTGGTGAGGGCTGGGAGTGAGGATCACGTGAGCTAGTTCATGGACAACGCAGGGCTGGTGCCTGGTGCAGCAGAGCTCATGCCCTGCACACATTAGTGAGGAAGGGGACACGATCCAGAGCGTGCGTCCTTCTCTCCGTCACGGGACAGACTCACCGAGGGTGCTGTCCTTGGGAAGGGGCTTCTGTGCCCAGCATTCAGAGGGCTCCTCCCTGCCCACGTGGCACCTTCCCACCTTTGACTATTCCATGTCCAGCCCCAAGGACCCGTCCGCCTCCTGGCCCCTCACCTGGCCTCACCTCAGATGCAGCTGCAGCGGCCCCTCCTCTCGAGACCCCTGTCTGACTCTCCACCAGCCTAGATGCCATCCTCACAGTTGGGCTCCCTGTTTCCCACAGCCAGTGCCCCCAGATCAACCCCATCGGCCCTCCAAGACCGTGTCTTGGTGCCCAGTGGTCTGTGAGCTCCCCAAGGTGGCCTCGAAGCTGGTGCCCCCCTGCCCCACCCCACTGTTGGGTACCAGCAAATGCTGGATGAGGGCAGACACGTTGTACCCACCAAGGCCCAGCAGCGGTCATGCCCCAATGCCACACCCCCCCTTCCTCCAGGGAGTCAGGCAGTTGAGTCCCTGCTCATCCGAGCCCGCTGTTACGGGCTCCTGGGCCAGAAGAAGACGGCCATGTTTGACTTCAACTCAGTGCTGCGGGCTGAGCCGAAGAACGTGCAGGCGCTGTGCGGTCGGGCACTTCTGCACCTGGCCCTGGGCCAGCAGAAGGTACCGGGCCCCACCCTCCCCGCCCGGATGGGCACGTGGGGTTAAGGGAACAGTGCTTTAGGGGAGGGGCACCTAGAAGAACCAGCACGGTCTTCCTTCTCAACCCAAGCCTAGAGGGAACAGGGCCAGGCCGTCTTGAGTGTGAGACGCCCATTAAAACCCTTCCTGCTCGGGGCTCACATCATCATCACACCTTCCATGGGAAGAGGCCCACTGCCTCCCAGCCTCAGCATGGACTGTGCAAACCCTGGGGGCTACTAGACACCCCCCTCCCCCCGCTTAAAATAACAAGACCTCAGCTGCCTTCTTGGGTACCACACCCTGAGCTGTCTGCACAGAGCCCGTGGATTCAAGCGGTCAGCTTGCAGGGACAGGGGTGGGAGGGTATCCACACTGTCGGGCCCCAGGCGGGTGCTTTTCCCGGAGAAAACCTGCCCACAGGCGGCCACAGCTGCACAGCCCTGGACAGGGGCACTTCTCAGCTGAGAGCAAGGTCACAGGTGAGTGGCTGAAACTGAGTGTCTGCCCTGAGGCTCTGCAGCCCAGAGGTGACCTGCCTGCCAGGCTTCTTAATTAAGGAGAAATGATGCCAGATGCCACTGAGGTGGGAGCCCCTACAGGTGGAGCTGGCGTCTGCCCCTCAGGATATCTGACACCCCCCTGCCCGTGGGCGCTGGCAGCCTGATTTCTGCTCCAGCCTGCCGTGGGCTCTCAGTGTGAGCCCCCCTCGGTCCGGCCATCCCTCCCTTCCCACAGCTCCAGTTCACTGGCTCACCATGCTCAGCTTCCTGTAGCTCAGCAGAGGGGCCCTCCGGCTGCGGAGGGCAAGAGCTGGGCCGTCTGCCCCTTCTGGTATCCCCAACACCCAGGCAGATGCCCAGCGGAGGCGATTCTGCCGCCCACCCTGCCCTCCTCCCCCCTGCAGGAAGCTGTGGATGACATCCTCTTGGCTCTGAAGCTCGACCCCAGGAGTGTGGTCCCTGAGATTCGCTCTCTGAAGCCGGAGGCTCAGGCCCTCATCACCCAGGGCCTCTGGTCCCGCTGCCAGGCTCTCCTGAGCCAGCCGCTGGACACTGGGGCTCCCCTCAGCGACGAGGACGCCCGGGGCCTCCTAGCTGTGGGGGAAGCGCTGATCAAAATCGATGCCGGGCAGCCAAGCGGACACATCCTGCTGGCAGATGCACTCACTGCAATGGGTATGCCCGGCCCAGGTTTGGGGAATGTGGGTGTCTGTCCCAGCCCCTCTCACCCTTGATTCTATTCTGTAAAATGGGAGAGACCGACCCTGGATTCAGTGCCTCCTGGGGTCTTTCCACCCCAAATCCTGATCCCTGTGACCAGGTCCGTGTGGGGCCTGGGGTGCAAGTGTCTTGAGCTCTCATTCACCTGTGTGGTTTTGCCTTCAGGGAGGAGAGACAAAGGAGCAATTTGGGGTTCCATAAAAGGACCCAGATGATTGGGGCTTCTCATTAGCTCATGCAATTATTCAACAGATGTTTACAGAGTACCTATGGAACACCAGGCCGTATTGTAGGTGGGCTTGTGTCAAGCCCCCATGTGCCCAAATCCCAAGAATATTACAGTCCTAATGTGAAAGGAGAGAGTTCTGTGCAGCCTGCATTTCCCTGACCTGTCACTGTCACCTCCAAGCCTGTGGAGGGCCCCCAGCCAGGCCTACACTGCCCTGCCGCCCAGTATATATTCCCGCAGGTGCTCAGGAGAGCCCCCTTGTGGTGACCACAGTGAGCATTGCTCAGAGACCTGCTGCTCAACCTGGGGGTCTTGCACCCTAGTGACCCCCCATGACGGGCTCAACAGGCAAGCTGGGGCTGGCGTGGTGTCACTGTGTCCCCCTGCCCCCGGCCTGAGCCCCTCCACCAGCTGGCCCCTCCCTGAACCAACACTGAGCAAGAGAGGCTCTGGCCAGCGTCCCACCTCTCTCGCCCCCTGCCCCAGCACCCCCCTGACTGTCCTTCCTGGATCACTGACAGGCAGCTATGAGGAAGCTGGCGCCTGCCTGCAAAAAGCCCTGCAGCCCACCCCACGGTCAGAGGCGGCCCGCGCCCGGCGAGGCCTGCTCCAGCTCAAGAAGGGAGACGTACCCGCTGCCGTGCGGGACCTGCAGTGCCTGGCCGAGACGGAGGCCCAGGAGCTCGGCTTCCTGCTGCGGCGCCTGGAGGCCTCGCAGCGGCAGAGCCTCAGCCAGGTGTGCTCCGCGGAGCCCCCCCCCCAGCGCCTCCCCAGCACCCCGGACCCCGCCGTGCTCAGGGCTGCTGTGCCCTCCCTGCTCCCCAGTTTCAGCTGGGGGCCAGGGGGGAGACAAGCCCGTTTAAGACAAGCCTAAACCCCAGCAACCTCCCGGCTTCTCTGCATGAGGCATCTAGGCCACAAGGGACAGGGCCTGGGAGAGAGCGCGGACCCCTCCTCGGAGCCGGCCGAGCCAGCCAGGAGCACCTGGCCCTTGCAGGAAGCCCACGCCCAGCCCCTGGTGGGCTGAGAGCCTGGCAGGAAGGCAGCGGGCTGAGGCGGGCATTGGGCTAGGGCCACTGCGGCTGGCTGGCTGATTTTCGTTCCACTGTCTATTCGGTGGGACGGTGGAGCCGCTACCCCACCCTGTGGGCCTCCCGTCTCAGGGGAGACAGGGTGCAGGTGCCCTCCTGAGTGTGGTGGTATTGAGAAGACCCTACAACAGGCCAGTAGTGAAACGAGGCGGCACTGGAGGTGAAGCCATGATGGGACAGACAGGCCAAGGCGAGGGCCAGAAACGGGCAGAACGTCGGTGCAGCTGCTGTGGGTGGAGGAGGGGGCGGGATGGGGGGAGAGGTTTCTGGGCCCAGTCTGACAGCCGGAAGGGGCTGCGCCATCCACCAGCTGGAGGCAGGAGCCCCAGCAGGCGGGAGGAGAGGGAAGGTGGGGGACAGCGCAGAGAGGAATCCCCCGAAGTGGCTGCATTTCACCTGTGCGGAGGGGAGGGGAGGGGAGGGACCAGCAGGAAGAGGAGGCCCCGAGCACAAGCCTTGGAGTGGGAGTGACTCAGAATCAAACCGTGAGTGGCCTGGGGCAAGTACCTTACCTCCTCACGCTAGCGTGTGCCCAGGACTCTAGGGGTTTCTCTGGGGACCCCGGAAGAACAGAAACCACACTGGTGTTTCAACCAGGGGGTTTAACAGAGCAGGTGGCTGCACAGGCCTTAGGGGCGGGAAGAGCAGAGAGAGAGCCCTGGGTAATGCAGGGTGACAATTGCCCCAAGGGGAATGGGTCATCAGGACCTGGCGCTCAGAGCAGAGCCCTGAGGAGTGGTCTGGCTGGGGTCTCAGCACGGAGACTGCTCTGGTTCATAGGACGGAGCTGGGTGGAGTCTCTGAGCCTTTATGAGGGTGCGGGGAGGGGGTCTCCGAGACGGGAGGAGGGGGGCCGGGCGGGGGTCTCCGAGACGGGAGGAGGGGGGCCGGGCGGGGGTCTCCGAGACGGGAGGAGGGGTGCCGGGCGGAGGTCGAGACAGGAGGAGGGGGGCCGGGCGGGGGTCTTCGACGGAGTTTGAGACAGGGGGAGGGGTGCCGGGCGGAGGTCGAGACAGGAGGAGGGGGGCCGGGCGGGGGTCTCCGAGACGGGAGGAGGGGGGCCGGGCGGGGGTCTCCGAGACGGGAGGAGGGGGGCCGGGCGGGGGTCTCCGAGCGGAGAGGAGCGGGCGGGCGGGAACACGAGGTTAAGAGCAGAGGCGGGCAGTGTGGTCTCCGCGGCCGTTGAAAACCCGCTGGGCCGTCGCCGGGGACGCGCGCCGACCCGGAAGTCAACGAGAGGTCCCGCCCCGCTTCCGGCGCGCGCCCCGCCCCTCAGGCGGCACTGCGCCTGCTCGGCGGCGGCTCCCCGCTCGCGAGCGGGACGGGCGCTTTGAGGTCCGAGGGGCGCAGAGCCCGCTCTCGCCCGGCCTGCCGGCGCCTGCTCCCGCCGCTCGGCGTCCCTCGGCCGGGCCCAGGCTGCCCCCCGGCGCGCCGCCTGCATCCCAGCCCGACGGCGTCCCTGCCGGCCCCGGAAGCTCGGTGCTCTTCCCGGGGCCAGGGCACGAGTGCGACCCGCCGCAGGGCCGAGGGAGAGGGACAGCGGGGAAGGCCGGCCCCGGGGATGCTCTGTCCCGGGGCAGGGGGGGGGCCGGCGGGCTGGGCTACCCAGACGGGGTCCAGCAGTCCCCAGGGAGGGAAGGACTAGGTTGGACGGTGCCCGCTGACCTCTGGCTCCGCCCTGCAGCGTCCTCGGAGGCTGGGAGTGGGGGGCGCCCACCGCAGCCCTCAAAACACCACGCTGCCAGTCCCGGGGGGGGGGTCAGGCACCACGAACCCCAACACCTGGAAATCTTTCTAGCAGACGCTGGAACTGGTGGTCCATCAGCAGCACAGTCTCTTCCCCTTGACCCTAGCTCTGCAGGGTCTGCTGGACCCTATAGTGAGAAACCCACCAATGCTCAGCAGGCCCTGCCCTCCTGACCTCAGGCAGAGGAGGGGGCTCAAGGACCAAGCTGGGTAGAGGCGGTGCTTGCTACCGCCCTCAGGGCCAGGGCAGCCTTGGGAGGGTGGGCAGCTGCCCATCCATGGGCCTGTTGGGAAGGCGACTGCAGAGAGGGGCTGAGACAGGGAGGAATGAGGGAGGAGGTCACCAGATGATAGAAGCAGTAGGGCTAGGAGGGAGGGGAGGACCAGTGAGGAGGAGAGGGGAATCCAGGAGGACCCCATCTGAGCTGGGCTTCCAGGGTGGTGGGGTTGCGGGGTGTGTCCTCTACCCTGTACTTCCACTCCCTCCAGAGCAAGTGGGCAGCCGCTCTGGGCAGGGAAGGGGCCTGTGGCTCTCTGGGCTGACCCACGCTGCCTCCCTCTGTCCCCTCTGTGCAGGCTGCGGCCAAGGAAGCCAACACCCTCCTGAACTCAGGGCAGCCCGGGCGAGCGCTGGGCTACTGCTCACTGGCAGTCCTCGCTGGGGGCAGCAATGCCTGTCACCTGCGCCTGAGGGCCACCTGTCTGGCCGAGCTGCAGGAGTTTGACCGGGCACTGGAGGACCTGGACCATGTCCTCCGGATGGATGTGGGAGCCCGCGACCTCCCGACGCGGGTGGAGGACCTGTGCTCCCAGGGCCGGCTGCTGCTGAGCCTGGGCAATGGGGCCAGGGCCACAGGGGCCTTTGCCCAGGCCCTCAAGCTGGCACCCACCCTAGCCCAGAGCAGCCTGTGGGAGCGGCCGGGCCGGGGCCCCACTGCCCAGGCGTTCCTGTGCCATGGCCAGACCTGCCTGGGGGAGCAGCGCTATGCAGAGGCCTGGACGGCAGCGGAGAGTGGCCTGCTGGCAGACCCTGAGCACAGCGGCCTGAAGAGGCTGAAGGCGAGACTCCAGAAGGAGGCATCCTTGGGCTGCAGGCTCCACTGACCCCATGCTCTCGAGCCCCAGATAGGCGCCACCCGGCCATTCCACCCCAGATGGGCTCCTGAGCAGCAGGATACGGTGGGCCTAACTGATGTAGGTCAGACTCGGCTGAGAAGAGAGACTCTATGGACTCACACATTTTAGGTTACTGAGAAAGTGTGACAGCCTATAGATAGTATTACCTCATCTTAAGACAACAAAGCTATAAATTTTTTGGAGTTTCTTGCATGTGAAACAGCTCTTGGGTCCAAGAGGAGATCACATCTGAAATCAAAGAAAATTGAAAAACTAATCATAACAAAACCCGTGGAGAGAAGCACCTGCAGGATGCAGCCCCAGCGGGGCCCCGGGGAAGGTCCGACCCCAAGCAGATTACTAAGCAATGGAAAGAAAATGAAGTACGTGTTCAGTTCGAGAAGTTAGAAAAAGACAATAAAACTAAGGAAATCAGAAGATAGGAATTAAGGATAAAAGCAGAAATTAATAAGTTAGAAGAATAAATAAATACAAAATCTGGTTCTTCAAAGTAAAGTTAATGAACCAACAGCTAATTCTCTGAATTGAGAAAATGGAGAAAGCACAATGGCCTTCACCTGGGCGCCTGCTGCAGTGAGCCCCACATGTCTCCTGACGAGCAGACAGTGTGGTTGTGCTGGCTCTCAGGACAGCAGGAGGCACTTTGGAAAAAAGGTCTCCACTCGCAGGTCTGGAAGGTACCCAGTGGGCTCAGGGCCGCACAGCTCGGTTGCAGAGACTGCAGACCTGGCGTTCTGCCTTTAGTAGGGCCTCAGGGTGGGATCTCAGGGGTTTTGTGGGGTCACTCGTTATTGGCTAGTTTGAAGCAGAAAAGTGGGAATGGGGTCTTGGGAGCTGCAGGCAGGGTCACAGAAGCAGTTACCAGGGTAGCTGAGAGCTTTCTGAGAGGGGGACCTCACAGGTGTGGGCGGCCCACTTCCTTCTCTGGTCGCTTTGCCTAACAGCTGTGTCCAAGGCTGGCAACACGTGTGTTCCAGATGAATGTCTTTGGAAGTGGACACCCTGGCAATCGAAAGTTTGACGTCAGCCACACCACAGAGAGTGCTGTGGGTGTGCCCAGCCCAGCTGGGGGAGGTAACGGGCGGGTGCACACCAGCTACTGGAAGCGGTGCCGCCAGCTCACGTGGCGGTGCGCACTCCGCACCGGTGGCCCACACTTAACTTGAGATGCCAGGTCCTCCCTAGTAGAACAGAGACGGCATCCAGAGGTGTAGGGAGGTCTTCTCCCATGTGGCGGTGCACCCCCACTGCAGCCCGCTCGAGGGATCACAGGACTTATCTTCTCCAGGCTCTAGTTCTGTGATGAGCTGCATGAACGTGTGTCCTAGTCTTGAGCCATCCTTGCATTCCTGCACGTATTGCTCTGGGTGTATTCTTCTTTTAACATGCCGCTGGATTTGGGGCTGTTGGTATTAGGATTTCTGGACTGGTGATTCATAAATTGGTTTGTAGCTTTCTTTTAGTTGAGATTATGCTTTCTTCCACAAAGAACTTGGAAGCTTCTTTTTCTTGGCCTGGAAGTGTTTAGAGACATTTGGAATTGACTGTTCCTTAAAGGTTGACAGGCTTTTCCATCTGGAACTGAGCCTGCTTTAGGGGAGGCTCCCAGACAGCCTTCTCTCTTCATCCTTGGCAACTGTCCTGCAGAAGTTTTAGGCCTATTCTGGTCAGTTTAAATATCTGCCTAGGAGCTAATTCATTTCATCCAGGCCTCCAAATTTATTTGCCCAGAGGAACATAATTTCTTATGATGCTTTTAATTTTCTGTTACTTTGTCCTTGTCACTTCGAAGCACACCCAGAGCAATACGTGCAGGAATGCAAGGATGGCTCAAGACTAGGACACACGTTCATGCAGTTCATCACAGAACTAGAGCCTGGAGAAGATAAGTCCTGTGATCCCTCGAGCGGGCTGCAGTGGGGGTGCACGGCCACATGGGAGAAGACCTCCCTACACCTCTGGATGCCTTCTCTGTTCTACTAGGGAGGACCTAGCATCTCAAGTGTGGGCCACCGGTGCGGAGTGCGCACCGCCACGTGAGCTGGCGGCACCGCTTCCAGTAGCTGGTGTGCACCCGCCCGTTACCTCCCCCAGCTGGGCTGGGCACACCCACAGCAATAGGGCCAGCCCAGCCCAGAGCTGTATTCCCTCTGCCGTGGCCTGACCCCACACACAGTCTCCAGGGTCCCCAGTGTGAATTAGAGCTTGCAGTTTTTGGGGTGCATATGCTAGTTCCTCCAGGATCAGGCTTTGTACCTGAGCCCCCCCCCAGAGATGCTGAGATTAGACCCCTTCTGTGGGTTTAGAGTCAGTAGGTGAAGGAAGAGGGTTGTGGAGGTTGAACAAAATGAGCATCCTCCTTTCTAAGCACCCTGACCCACATGAGGCTCTCAGGATTTATAAAGAAAAAAGGCAAGTCTCTAGCCCTGGAGGACAAGTTGCATCCACTGCAAAGGGGCTCCGAGGACTTGGGGATTCAAGGTCCTCAGCTTCCTCTGAGCCCCTTCCTAGTTCCAGGGTCCCACTCCTTCTCAATCAGTGCCCCAGCTTTTCATAAGAAAGTTGACGAGGCTGTAAATGAAACCAACACTGTAATTGCACGGCTCACAGAATTAAATGTTGTTTTTGACTCTTAGCACTACCAGCCCTGTGCACGTCACAGGGGCTTCTCAGGGGCCACGGAGCCCTCTGACTCCCGGGCTGTGACCCGAGCTGGTCGTTCTCTTCCTGTTTGTGCTCCAGGACATTCGGGAGAGCCCTGCCCCATGCCACGGTCCCCGCGGCCACTGTCACTGTGTGAACAGCCACGTGCAGCAGCACCTGAGCTCCCACGGCCCCTGAGCGGGTGGGGGCATCACAGCCACCATGAGGAAATCACCCCACACCACAATTCTCCCTTCCCAAGGAGCACAGCCCTGCAGTCAGGCCCCAGATCCATCTTTGAGTGTCTGGCGACAGGGACCACTCTTGGTACCGATTTATGTATCAGTCAGAGTCCACTTGGGAGACAGAAACCGCACCAGTGATTCAGACGGCGGGGATTTAATAGACTTGCTCGTTAGCTGTGATGTGTCAGTTATGGACGTGGGGTAGGAGGAACTCCAGGGACCATGGAAGTAGCAACCACAGAGCTCAAAGTCGGACGACCCAGCCTGCCCAAACAAGCTGCCAGCCGTCACCCACACCCCTCAGCTTGGTGACCAAGCTTCCCTGCATGTGCCCCTTGCCCCACGTGGTACTTCCTCACCACAACTTTGTGCCTGGCACTGTGCCTCCATTCTCTCATCCGACTGCAGTGAATCTTATAGGTGAGGGGACAGAGACCGGGGACAGTGAGAGCACCCCAGCCCCTTCCCTCCTGTCCAGGATACCCAAGGCCTGACATCAGGAAGCAGCTGTCGGGAAAGTGTGTGGAGGGGGGACTCCCACAGGCCAGACTCTCACCCCAGCTCTCTCTGAGTGCTTCGGAAATGTCCTTCAACTTCCTCCATTCTTTGCCTCCTCTGAGCAGGGCCCCTCATGCCTGCCCACAGCACAGGTGGGCAGAACCAAGGAGAGATCTGAATCCTGCCCTACAGAGGCCCAGAGACACCTGCCAGATGGGGCTGCGCTTCATGCAGAGGACAGCAGCTTGCCCCAGACCATCCCGCCTAAGAGTGGGGGGCAGGAAAGGGGTGGACCCAGGTGTCAAGGGCAGGTGTCTGCTGAGCCTGAGAATAGCCCCCTGCTCCATAGCAGCAGTGACCAAGGCTAACTTCTAGACCTGCCCTGGTCCCAAGGTTGATAAGGGAGGTGGCACCCATGGTTGGCTGGGCCTCCAACTTCCACATCTCACATCTTTTGCCCAAGAGACAGGGAGGAGTGAGCAGGGAGCCTCCACTGGCCCCTGAGCTCACCTAGGAGGAGGGATTAAAATCCACCCTCCAGAGTGTCCCAGGCAGCAATGGGGCCTGGGACTCACTGCATCCAGGGACCTCGCTGGGGCTGGGCGTCTGTAGCTCCTTGGCCTATGGAACCCCTTCCCTGGTTTCTCTGGGCTGCCAGGTACCTGAGCACGGCCTTGCTTGGTGCCACACCAGAACCTGCAAGCTCGGCACCCCGGCTCGCTGGCCCCTTGCTTGCTCACAGCCTGTCTTTCACTGACAGGGCTGCAGACAGAACTCATGAACAGGGCAGCTTGGGTGGGAGAAGCGGGACTGAGCTCAGCCAGCACCTGCATCCAGGCAGCCTTGGTGGCGGAGGGGGAGGTGCTCTGGCTGGCCTGTGCCTGAGGAGTCCAGGGCCATCATGCTCTGGGAAGGAGCTTCTAGCTGGCCGGGCTGGTCCCTGGTCCACCCCAAGCTCCCCAGGAAGGGCAGTCCTGGCTTCTTACTCCCCTGACCTTGACCTCCTCCCCTTCCAGGTCAGCAGCCCAGGCAGTCTCCAGGCCAGGCTACCAGCTCCTCGCTCTTGGCGGGGTTCCCAACCTTCGGATGGGGTGGGTGCTGGGAGACAGACAGCGGGCTGAGGAGAGCCTGGGCTCTGGGGCCATGTCTGGTATCAGTCCCCAGCAGAGCTGCCCTCCTCCCAGGGTGGGGCCAACCTGAGAGGCCGCCCCAACAGGGTCTGGGCACCGATGGCCCTGCCCAGACACCCTTCCCGAGCCCCGGGGGCCTGGGGGGACCGCTCTTTCCATGAGGTTCTGAAACAGAAGCAGAACCGTGCCTGAAGAAGGGAAACCTGGCTTCTGGCAGGACCTGCTCTGCCCAGGGCCCAGGCCCCATCAGCAGGGTAACTGATTCACTCTCAGAAGCACTGGTGGGGCTCTGTCACATCCAGAAGGCTCTCTCCCCACCCCCACCCCCACCTCCCCTGCAACTTCCACCTGGCAGGGCCCCCGGAACCCACCAATCTCACTGGAGACTGAAGTGACAGAATCCCATGGCAGGGGCTTTGCAACCCCCACGGCCAGGGTGGCTCTCTGGTCCCCATGTCTCAGGCAGGGTGGGGAGAAGGGTCTGGCCTTCCTTCCCAGCGGCCCCTGTGGCCCCTTTGGACTGTGGAATCGAGGAGGGAGGAGGGGGCAGGACGCAGGACCGCAGGGAGCCCCGGGCTCCCCGAGCTGCTCTCTGCCCCCTCCCCCCTCCCCCCCACACCAAACCCAGATGGAACACCCCACCCGTGAGCGCAGGAGATGGTCCCCGCCTCCAGGGAACCCACACCTGCATCACAAAGGAGGCCCGGAAGCCTCACTCACTCGGGGCCCCACCTGAAGCCCTTGCTCTCTGCCCCTGGGAGCCCTCCCACCTGGCCCCAGCTCACCGAAGCTCTAGGCCACCCCGCCCCAGCCTTCTGAGACCTGCCCGCAGGGGGGTGGCCCTTCCTGAGTGCCCTGAAGGTGAGCGAGTGTGGGGCCAGCCTGCGGGCCATCTTTCCTGGGCAGCACCGAGGGATTCCCTACAAGCACCCAGCCTGTCTCCCGGGTGCCGGGCAGAGTGCAACCT